TATACAGTCCCACTGCTGGACACAGGCTCCCTCTCACAATGAGAGGGCTTAGGCTTTAGTTCCCACGCGGGTTTACTGTAGATTCGGAACTCCACACACAATATCGTGTAGAAATGAGCGTATTTCGAGAGACGGTGGCGGGTCTTACCGCCACAATCAAGGCACAAAATGTCCGTAGCAGCTCGAAAATGAAATTGACATCTTGGAGAGCAAACTTGTTGAGACCCGTAGTAATGTTTCAAACATGGAAAAGACAATGGAAATACAAGACAAAGACCAAGAAATGCTCGTTAATGACGTTGAGATAGCTGGCTTTCCTGAAGAAAGAAATGAAAACACAACTCACGCCATATTTATAATCGCAAAGACATTAGGTGTACAATTCGAAGATCGCGATTTGGTATCTGTAGAGAGAGTAGGTCCACCGCGTGCGTTTTTGGAGGGCGAGGAAGCGCTGAGACTGCGACCACTTGTCGCGCGGTTGGCTCGTCGTCACACGCGTGATGCGCTTCTGAATGCCGTACGGGTACGTCGTCGCCGTTCCACTGAGGGCATGGGTTTGTCCGGCTCTACAAGATTCTTTCACCTCAATGAACGCCTCACTAGGCACAATCGACAGCTATTCCAGAAGGCAAACGTAATGGCCGGCCGTATGAACTGGAAGTATGTGTGGACGGAATACTCACCCAGAGAGATCTCGGCAAGGTTTTTGGTACTTCCATTGTTGGCAATTTTACTTGAATGGTAAATGTAAGTTATTTGCACGTGTTTACATATTTCTATTATCTTTATCAAGTGTTATGAGTATGAGAGGTAGCCCCTTTATAAAATTGTATTATTGTATTATTTATAACTTGCCTGTTTTAGATCCTATAAGATTGAATTTAAAATGTACTACAATGTATTATAAGTTTTATTTGTTTGTATTTATAAGAATGCATATTTTCACCATATTCTATCTCATAAATTAACGATTAATATATTGAAATGTAAACAGAAGTATGTAAGCCATTACTTTCATTCGACTTCAATATGTTATACATGTAGAATATCTACGTATATGTTATCTACGTACATATACATTTATGTATATTTCGTTGAGTTTCTTACAATTAATATCCAATTATTATTTACAAATATTTGTAAAATTGTTCTAACTATTATATCTTACAAAATTACAAAAAATTTCAAACATACGTATTCTAATTCTCGTCTATTGACCGTGTTGCAAATGCCTTCCACTATTGACAAACGTCATTTGACATTGCTCAGACGATATTTATCAAACTGCAAGTATATTCAGTTTGTTGTTTCATTCATCATACGATTCATTAAGGCTAAACATATATCACTAGGCTTACTGAATTCAGGTTCCCTGTGTACGCGACATGATGAATTCTTAGTGGCTCTAGAGCGGCACACAGCTGATATTTTAGCAATTAATGAAACTTGGCTGCGGGTAGTTGAGGAAGCACAAGCGCCCGCTCCTCCGGGTTACAGCCTGCGCCATATACCCCGACCTATAAGGCGTTACTCGCGTGAAGTCGGGGAGTCTGTTTTTATTTACGACGTGGGATACATGCGCGCCTTCTAGAACTCCCCTATACACCACCCGTTGAGCAAATGTGGCTTGGAATTACAGTTTGTGGTCAAAGGCTTGCAATTGGCACTTCGTATCGTCCACGCTGCCTGGGTCAATTTGGATACTTTCGTTGATGCATTGATGGAGTCCATGAACACATTTGGATCATTTGATCATGTTATCGTTGTGGGAGATTTTAATGTTAATCTACTTTCATCTAATGATTGTAGCACAAAAATTATTTTAGATTTTCTACAGTGTTTGGATCTCCAGCAATATGTTACCCAGGCTACGCACTTCACCGAACATTCAAAAACACTCATAAATTGATATATAATAGTGTTAAAATATCTAACGTGTTTGTTGAGTATATAACTAATCTTAGTAATCATGCTTTTATATCATGCGATTTACATATCAAGAAACCATAACCATTACCTAAATGTATATCTTTTAGGCCACTTAAGGACATTAATATAATATTTTAATGATGATGTGGAGGCGGTAGATTGGGAGAGCTTTCTGTGTGAGAATGTGAACGATTCTGTGGATACTTTTAATGCATATGTACTGCACCTATTCAACGTTCTCGCCCCTTCGAAGACAATTAATATTAAAACTGAAAATTACTCTTGGATTACCGAAACAATTAAAGAGATAATGAGGCTGCGTGATGAGGCACATATTAAAAGTAGAACTAAACTCGACAGCGATAAAAAATACTACAAAGATTAAAAAGTATAGTGACTACAGCTATGTTTAATGAAAAGGCGACCTATTTCAAATACTACGTTAATAAACACGTAACGAATCCACGTACACTTTGGAAAAATATTAAACGTAATGTGAAAGACTTCAACAAAACGTCCTCAGCTCTACCTTTAGATATAGCTAATGTGCAGCTCTTCAATGAGCACTTTCTTAATATGCCTGGAAGAAACAACGTCATCTTATCTGAATGAATGCACTTCGAAAATCAGCGGTACATTCCTTACCCAACATTTTTAGTTTAAAACCAGTTAGTGAATTGACGGTATCAAAAATAATCCAAACTTTTTCTACTAACGCACAGGGTATTGACGGTATTACTTTGGACATGATATTGCTTACTTTACCGCGAACGTTGGGGGTTATAATAGGAATTGTAAATCAATCCATACAGACAGGAGTCTTTCCAAACATTTGGAAAGATGCCCTAGTCAAACCTATACCTAAAATGAATAATCCTACTGATCTCAAGGACTTTCGACCTATTAGCATTCTGCTGTTTATGTCGCTCACTGAATACTTAAATGATAATAACAAATTACCTCATAAGCAATCAGGCTCCAGACCCGGTCGAAGCACTGCTACAGCGCTCCTGGACGTTGTTGACGATATTCTGGCTGCGCAGGATATTGGAGAGAGAACTATACTGACCTTGTTAGATTTCTCGCGCGCGTTTGAAACTATCAATATCACTTTACTCATTTCTAAGCTAGCATATTATGGTTTTGACAGTGTTGCGTTGAGGTGGTTTACAAGTTACCTGATTGATCGATCACAACCAGTCGAACTGTCCGGTATCGATGGAAAAAAAGCCAGTCAACTGCTTCTTACGTGCCTCGGGGAGTTCCTCAGGGATCTATATTGGGTCCCATCCTGTTCATTTTGTACAGCACTGACATTTGTAAATGCATAAAAAATTGTAAGCACCATCTTTACGCTGATCTTCAGGTGTACATTTCATTCAGGCGAAGTGAAGCTTCTATAGCAGTACTCAAGCTTAATGAGGATCTGGACAGAATAGCAGGATGATCGGAGCGTAGTTGCTTGGTTTTAAATTCAGTGAAGTCGAAGTTCCTTGTGCTGGGTTCGAAAGCACAGGTACGTAAAATTCAAGAACAAAATCCAGTGGTGGCAATTGGGGGCGTTTGCATAGCGCAAGTATCGGAGGCGCCGAATTAACAATCGAAAAGCATGTGGTAGATACTGTAAGAAATTGTCTCTACAGGTTAAAAGTTTTGTACCAGATACGCCAGTTCCTAAGTGTAGATTTGCGGATTCACCTTTGTGAATCGTTAATATTGGCTAAGTTCAACTATGCGGACACTGTAATAGGACAATGCATACTGGCGAAAACGAAAAAATTGATCCAGCGAGTCCAAAACGCTTGCGCACGGTTTTGTTTCTCAATTCCACCCCGAACACATGAGTCACCCTACATTAACAGAACCAATTTAATGAACATGAACTATCGACGTTCTCTACACTTCGCAACTCTGCTTTTCGGTATGATTCAAAATAAAAATCCGTCGTATCTGTTTGAAAAACTTACGTTTTCGCAACACCATATTAGATCGTGTTCTCCTCTGGTTTGCCCTAGATATAGTACAGCAGCATTTCGTGGTAGTTTTCGTTATTCTGCCACGAAATGTTGGAACAATATACCTCCTCCGATTAGAAACTGTGCCACAATTAGCACGTTCAAACGTAAATTTAAACTGTATTTATTAGATAGGCAAAAATATGTGATAAATAGCAGTTAGTTTGGGAATTCACGTTTTATAAATCATTTATTCAATTTAATTTATACAAGTTTATTTAAAGATTAATAATCCCTTTAACAGGAGAATTAGATATAGATTTTATTTATTTATTTATTTATTTCACATCGTAGATTTTAATTATAAATTTTAATATTTACTATGTATATGTACATGATTTATTATTTTATCATTCAAAATTTTACGTATATATAAATATTAGGTATTTAGATATAAATATTTTTCTATGTAAAGTGTTTTATTTTGATATTTTAAATTTAAGATATGTTTTGTTGATTCGTTGTCGGTGGCGTCCACTCCGTTCCTCGGCCACCACAGAATATCAGCGTTGGGTTGTTTTGCATGCACAACCCGACAAATGCTGTAAAAATTCGTATATATATATTCATAAATTCCGATAATATCAGAGGAGCAAGCCCGGATTCGAACCCACTACCCTCTGCTTGAGAGGCGGCAGGTCAAACCGTTGGGCTACCACGAGTGTTTGACGTAATATTCCTTGAGAAATATCATCAACAATACGTCCTAATTATACGCACTACTGGACACGGTTCTCATTTAAACTCCTCCACGAACTCTGAGGAGCTAGTGGAGTACATCAGACTAAAAGTCAATCACATCCTGAGGGTCGGTGAATTTTAATTCGTTTGTGGTGTCTTTCTCACCACAAACGAATTAAAATTCGAACGTTTATTATCGTCAAAAATAGGAAACTACCATTTAAAATGCATTTTTTGCTGGGTTACCCCTTTGTGTACGTTTTGGATATCTAATTATGATACATACTATAAATAAATTTTAATTTTGGGCAAACATGCATGTAATATAATTACTGTTACAAAATAAAGACAATGCATTTAATATTATTTCAGACAAAGAAAACCTACGACCAGAAGTACCACGTAAGAAAGTACCGTTTCGTGATATTCACACAGCATATGGACGCAAGATCCTCGCAGATCGCAGCGAGTGGCGAGCCAAGGTCGTCCAAAAAGAAGAATCTGTCGCACCTCTTATACAGCTATAAGTTTTTTAAGTTACTCTTATACAGCAGTGTATCTGACCATGGTTTCGTTATGATGGCGCATTAGTATTATTTTCTCTAACAGGCAACCTACAACAAGATCTCTAAGACGGAATAACCTATTACACCTTATACAGCTGTAAGATTTTTATATTACTCTCATACAGCTGTGTGTGGTTATGATCATGTCATAATGAGACCCCACTACGTAGCAACCGGCGAACTAAAGATCTCGAGAAAGTAATAACGTATTAAGTCTCTTGTACAGTTATAAGATCTTATACAGCTTATACAGCTGTGTATCTTAGTATGGTCATATGGTAGTGACAGTGCTCTAGGTAAGTACTAATTTCTTTCAACGTAGCCGTACAGGAGAGTTAAAGATCTCTAAAAAGAAAGAATCTGTTACATCTCCATAAGAGCTATAAGTCCTAATGTGGTTTTTATTAGAAAAAATCTAAGCAAAACTGCACCGTTTGTTTTCCAGCAAAATTCCAGAGTACAATTTTAAATTTTCTTTTGAATTACAATCGATTTTCCACGAAATCAATAGAAAATAATATAAACTCGTGATTATGAATCTGTAAAATATCTTCTCATTAACGGTAGAATTAAATATTTTTGTCGTAACTTTGAATAAAACCTACGATCTTATACAGCTTTCATAAACGGCATATGTCTACATATTTTTTTAAATGATATGAAGTGACGGGACGTTTCACGTAAGAAAGAACTTTAACATTGTTAAAATCAAATACGTTACGCTGAAATTTACTATTGGACATGAAAATTATTTCTTACGATGATCGATCGGTATATGAAAAACTGACACTGACCATGATCGCTGTAATTCCTAAATTACTATGATAATACTATTGGAAATACTTGAAAGAATGCAGTGTTTAAGAAAACTTGTTATTGTTTCAATATAATTGCCCGTCAACAAAACAATGCTTGTATTATTGAAAATACCTACATTTTAACTTAGATATTTAATTATTAATACAAAGATCGAACACTCAGAAAAAACACTCAGAAAAAATTCCTTCGATCTGGTCGGACTCGAACCGACGTCTTCTTGCATACCGTGCCAGACGATATACCAACTAAGCCACGGAACGAACCAACGGACGTTACGAATTTTTCTATGTGCTTGCTTGCTTGTATTAATAATTATAACAAACTAGTGGAGTAATTTCACAAAAAATAATTGAATATGAATTCAATAAAAATTTAATTAGATATTTAAATTATAATATTCTAGTTGGTCAAATACAAATAATTGTAATTTTTTCGCCGATTATTATCTACGTACTCAAGCGCAACCGGGATATCACTCAAGTAAATACAGATTTTTACAACACTCAAGACAAGATTTTACAGTTGTGTACCGTTTAGGAAACAGCAAAACTGAAAGGAATCTCAAGTATTGTTCTAAAATTAAGGCACAAGCTGTCACTTCCTCTGACATTACTCAGATGAACTCCGATTACAGATTCTACGCTTGAGTAATGTTCTGGAATAAAAACTCTGCTTGAAATCATACTCAAGTCCTGATTTGAGCATTGAGTAGAGCTCTGGAATACGACTCTTGGTTTCAAGCAAGGATCATTTCATTTTATTGGAAGAAAAATCGGGACAATTTCCATGCATCTCTTATAATTTGGGAAATCCGAAACACAGTATGGTCTGTGCCAGTTAAAAAACACACTGTCAAATTTTATCAAAACTGTCATGATATACATACGTATATCATGACAGTTTTGATAAAATTGGTTACCAGTCACATTGCTCTTATTCGATGTTTTGTTTTGGCGGCAGAGGGCGTCACAACTTTCATAGAAGAAAAGTGAATTGAATGACGATACCATTATTTCTTAGAATTCCATTTCTTTAATAAAAATAATTTATTTATTCGTAAAATAATCACGCAGAATAGTTGTTAGTTACAAACATTGTTGTTAATAATAATCTCATTGATGTTGTTTATACAACGTTTGTACTGTATGCCTTCAGTATTATCGAATTTTAAGATATTCCATTGTAATTAATTATGTAATAGATATTCCAATGTAAAAGTAATTTAATTATTACGTTTACTTAAATGCTGACAAGTTCGTTATGTGTCCAATGTTGTTTCATTTTTTAATATTTGGCCCTGGTGTTTCTGATTTGAGACAGCAGTATTTAAGGATTTGAAAGAAATTACTTTCCCAAGTGACAACGTGAACATTAATAAAGTCACAGAATGTTACTACGGTCTATTTTAATTTCATCATGCTGGCAACCCAATAAATGTCAGTTTACTTCTTTTTTTTTTGCTTATTAGCGGTGCCTGTTTTGGATTTTTCCAGTATAGAGTTTGCCGCTTAGTAATTAAAAAACGCTTAGTAAAAAAACTCGTATCTTATAGCACAAAGTTACTGGAAAAAAAAACAAAATGGCGGACAGGTCAAGGCTCTATTATCGAAATGCAGTGCAAGCTTAAGTCTTTATAAAGTTTTTTTTTCAGGGATAGATGAAAAGTAATGCTTTAATTTGCATGCTCTATTTCAGTTTCTTAAAATCAAAGGTCTTTTTTATTGTTAACTTACGATACACGAAATAGTATAAACATACGAAAAATAGGCGCCTTGACGTCGAGTTGCGGACACTAGCCCGTTACACCAAGTACCAAGTAGTATAAACATGTATTTTTATTACATTTTGTGTTCTAGTTCCTAATTAGATGTATGAAGGAAAAAAAATAAATAAAAAGCAAATATATTGTATTAAGGAGTTTATTTTAAAAATCTTTGTTACATAAACCAACACTTTACAAAGTCAACTCGGACAAGGGGAGACGTTAAATATAAGTTAAAATTTTATTTTAAGATATGCCCAGATCGGAGCGATTCGGTCGCGTCCGAAGACAAATTCTGCATAGAAAATGTATCAAATAATTAAGCGTTTTTGGTATTTCTTGTCGCCATTTCCGCTTGACACAGAAAACGCATCGATATGGGCGTAAGTTCATTTTTAGCAGCACAATACCATACGTACATACAATGCTCTTTTGGTATTTTTTTAAACTAGATAACATTGAGCAAACGATACATAAGTTTCGCCCGACTTTGCTTGTTATTTCGTGGCTCTATACACAACAATGTGAGAATGGAAGACAGTACAAATGCCCAGAAAAATGTGGTAACAAACAAATAAACACACAGAGTTAGGGTGTCAGAGATAAACTGAAAAATGTCAAACTTTAACACTATAAATATATTTTGCTACTTCTTTATGTATCAGTAAAAACGGAGTGGTGCCAGAGTCATAAAAATACTTTAAAAAGTAGACTGATTTCGAGATTGCCATTGCCAGTTCATAAATTCAAATCATTAAAAAAAGAAAGGAAAATACGTTCCGTTGCACTACACTTTTACTAATGCATAAAAAGTAGCATTCCAGTTTGTTAATGTTTTAAAACAAATATAATAAAAATAATATGCGTCTACAGAAACACATGTTAGAATATACTATAGCTATAAAACACGTCGTTAAGTTTTCTACCACGCCGCTAAAAGATTCATCCAAAAAAACTGTTAAAATCTACGAATAATAATCATCAAATATATCTCCCATAATCCGTAAGATATAACGTACCTACGTCACTATATATAAATCTACAAAAAGGATTAAATAGGGGCTTCATTAATCCACAATACAATGCTTCCTAATGACAATACATTTCATTTTAAGTATTAAAAAGTACATACTAAGATAGCAATGTATGCTTAACGCCCGATGAAGAGAAAATGTCATAAATACGAAATATTTGGTAACAATTCCTTAAAGATTAAAAAGGACAGCAATTCTGTGCACTAAAAAACAATTTGTTAGACAAAAAAGAACGTTAGTATGTACAAAATGTTATACAAATTTTTCTTTACAAGTTACAAATCACTAACCAATTTTATCTAAAGCTAAAACTTAGGAAATTAGTTACAAAAACAAACAAAGACAATTCTTGGACATATTCATTAAACTAGATGACAAATTTGTGTTGTCTTTTTTTTAAATTTAACGGTGATAGTACTGCTAAACTTTCAAAATTAATTTTCTGAATATGCTCAAAACAATCGATACTATTGCATAATCAAAGTTCACAGGAAAAGACGCAAGAAAAGACACGAAGATAAGAAAAAGGGAGCTACATTATATAAAAAAATCTACATTTTAAAAATTACTCAAAAAGAAACAAGTTACAATATACAATTGTGTTGTAGGTGGGAGTTAGGATCTGGCCACTTCTAAAGAAATAATTATTTGGTCCTAAATTATATTAAAAATTACATATAAATGTTAATGAGATCAACCAAAATATCATAGAATTACTGTGGAATTTTATGACATTTTTGCCGATCTTTTTAATGTATATTAAATAGCAATTGTGAAATCAGTAAGTCATTACTTTCGTTCAGGAACTGTTCCCTAATTTCACAGCTGCGTCGTTCTATAGCTAGGATTATTTTTATATAAGTAGATATATTTAATAAAACTAATTAATAGTTTATAAATGTTGAATATATCTGTCGCAAATACAAATAAATAATGTTAATAATTATTTATCATACATTCGGGTTAACATTTCTAAAAAAAACTACTTTCAACAAATTTAAAATTTATCCACTGATAATTTCTAAACGTATCCTTGTATATATATTCTTTAGAAATGCGCAACGGAAAATCGCATATAATGCTTATATTAAAAAGTACATTTTATAATATATTTTTTTGTGATATTGAGTACATTTTTAACACATGGGTAAATAAGCTAAGTGGCCAGGTGCTAGCGTGGTGGGAATAGCGTAATTCTATGCGTTTACAATACCCAATATACAAATTTTTTTAAATTTCTTGTTAAGGGTATGTTCTGCCTACTTTTTAATGTAGGTAAGTTAAAAAGTTTAAACTTATGGACCAAATACTGTGGCATCTTCTGGGAGCTTTCAAATCTTTGGGTGTGAGAAGTCTATCTACCTACGGGTATAAACTGTTCTGGTTTTAAACGACTTTTGGTCATTGAATTAAAAGTTGTAGAAATATTCTATCAGAGTTTGATCAAGTTATATAGGGTGACGACATTGACACGCAAACGCCGTTTATAGTTCGAAACGTTTCTTTCGCTCTGCGACCATCCCGACGAGGGGCGCGATGACCCTGCTACCGTCGTCAGAGCAGCGTCGCGCTTTTAATTCTGTGAACAAAGTAATTCTATAAAAATATTATCAATGTTATAAAAAGATAATTGTCTTTTACATTATAATTGTGAATACAAAGAATTCGATCTTTGTGTCTTGAAGTCGAATTTTTAAAATTTATCACCCAAGTATATTTTACTCTTTATTATTATGTCAACAGTCGATTGTTTTTTGGCGCGTATCTAGTTTGTACATTACACTCATTGAGTCTAGTACCAGAAATAGAGACGAAATAAGGGCCGTCCATCCCCGACAATTCATCAGGTAAATGGTCCATAAATGACTTTTAAATATCAACTCTCGTTTGCGCTGAAATCACAAATTAGAAAGCTGAAATAGCACAGCGCCAACAACTTACTCGTGTGTACGTCTTCGTATATTCCAAAAATATTCTGTATTTATTGTAATAACGATAATACCTCTAACAGGGCTGTTCCATTCGGTGGTGTGGGAAAAAACGGCAAAACATCTCATTACAAAACAAACGGAATCACATTTCATCGGTAATTAAATATTAAAAATGTAATTTTTCAATTTTCGTCCATTATAGCAAAGCTCAAGTTAAACTGGACGATTTGACGACACCCGTCAATTGTTTCGAATTCGGGCTGCCCAATCGGAGCGCAGTTGTCGCCGTAATGATTTGGCAGAATACTTTTCAAACAAATGAAATGACATTTCGCGTCTTTTTCTGGTTATATACTCCTCGATGGTTACACTTGACATCAAGTTCTTTACGCTATGTACAATTTCGCTACAAACATTCGTTTCCAGTTCGCTCCGCAGAATCTGTCAGATTTCGATCATAGCACAGTCGGTATATGATTAAAACTTTACCTGCACGGGGGAGAGTTGCAGGTTGCGTGTGCTCTCGGTTTTTGCGAACTGTATCTTGGCGGGGCGTGACGGCCGTGCTGCCTCCAGCAGCGGGCTCGCTCGGGACGACTTCTCCTGTACAGTGGCGAAAGGTGAGTAAGTAAAATATCAGGGTGGCTGGAAATATTGTCCATTGAAATTGAAGCTGTTCACTTGGTAAAATAGTTTATGTAATTATCTCAATGAGCGATCAAATTATTTGTATTGTACAGGCTTCTACGCTGTCAGAGCATATATTAAAAACTGAATGATGTAGTCCTCTTTACGTCATAACTTAGAATTTAGATAGGAGACAATATTTGCTTAATTAGATTTACAATTTCAGGTTGGTTTCATTTTCTAAGTGGATAAATTCATTAGCACTATAAGGTACTATATAGAAGGAAGTAAAAAACTCAGTTTAGTATCTTGAAAAATGATTAAGCGATTTTAAAGATACTTAATTCTAGATTTTAAAACTTTCGTAATCATATTGAACGATTATCACAAGTCACGGGCATATATCAATGGGTCCTTAGTATAAGGACTAACAATTTGATCATCTTCATTGAGGCTTTATTTCATTATAATCTATAAAGTAGCGTTAAAATAAAATCAAACACATTTAAGGAAACCATGAAATACAAGGAAATCTTGAAAATATACCAGATCCTTGTGACCAATTGTGATTTTGCGCTTTACGTAGTACGTATTACGTACGTACGTGTAGTTACGTATACGTAGGGCCCATGAATACAGGGTATTTTTTTTTTATAATAACAACCTGTCAGGAGTATATTACTAACATCATAAACATTTTGAAAAGACTGAATAAATCATCAGATTTTACATTCATACAAAAATAAATAGATTTAAATAGATCGCTATAAAAGGTTATAACTCTGTGCAGGACGGGGGTGGGAGTCGTCGCTAGCACGTTTGAACTTATTCTACCAAATATAGATCTAGAAAGTGTCAGAGAGCATAACAAAAACTTGAAAGTTTATTTTTGGTAAATTTATTATGTTTTGTAAAAATTCATGGAACAAAATTTGTTGTTTTTGATGTAATATAGTCCAACGCGGATGTTAGCATTTTAAAAATAACCCTGTATATACCACGGTATGACTTTTTATTATTCTCTGGATATTTCAGGCAGGTTACACTTTCTATGGTCACTTGTTGACTGGCGTCTCGATTGAGAGGTTCAATATTAGTGAATATTTAGTAGGAATACCTCTCATTATCGACAAATCGTCGAAAGTACGTCGAAGGTGGTTCACAATCTTTGGAAAACGTGTGAAGCCGATGGGAATCGGGCAGTTTAAATCGGGGAAAAGTTGAACCGTAGTTAGAACCTGTAACCGTTGATAAAAATCTATTTCTCTTAATAATCTATAATATCACTGTCAATTTTTACGGAGCTTCAATTCCATGAACAATAAAAAATTATTCAATTAATGAATTATTTAAGTACTCTATCTACAAATTAAAACAATACATTTTTAATTTGCAAACGTGTTTTTCTGCGCCCACACCAAAATTAATTTAAGATTATACCTCGAGAAATTCACCATTTTTTTACCTAATTTATTCTTCAATTAAGCCGGTTTTAAATTTGAATTTTTGTTGACTATTCAGTCTGTTGTTGACGTTAGTTTTTCCGTTACAATAAAATCGAAAATAATAAATGATTATTGGCTATTTTAGTATAATTTCGAAGTGGCTTTAACTAAATACAGTGTTTTAGATGTAGATTATGACAATATGATTCATGTTGAATTTGAGTTTATTTTTAATTCAGATTTTTATTGAAAAACCTTGCGCGAACCGTTGCCATTTCACTTATCAGTTTTGGGACTCTTTTTCTATGCTTTATTCTCATATTACTTTGGATTTTTTTCGAGGTACTGCCTTAAATTATATTAATAAATGGTTTATTTTTCATTTCGAGCCAGCACAAAGCAAATTAATATAAAATAAAATATCCGCAAAATTTCATGCGCTGTATGTCAAAGTGTAAAGTCAAAAGCATGATTGTTATTTTAAAACTAATTTCAGAATATTTTTAAAAAGCTTTTTAATTAAATAACTCCATTAGATATTTATGTATATCATATAAAACAAAATAAAAATAATAAAATACGTCTAAGTGTAAAATGTGCGATTTATATGCGTGATTTATTTACAATAAATATCTACTGCCTACGAAAGAAAGATTTGTGAAATTCAGTACCTTTGTCATTTGGCAAGTTTGTACAGATAGCTTATACGCACTTCTCATCTTTCCGGTTTTAAACAAAGGATTTTATGACACTACTCTTAGTGTGTGTAAAAAAGTTCTTGGAATATATAGTTATTCCGTTATATTTTATGTATTTAATTTATCATAACGACTTTTGATTGATTACATAAGTTAGTGGTCTGTGCAAACTTGCCAAAGTGCCTATGATATTTACCTGGTTGATTGCGCTGCCAGGCGGCCGCGAGGTGCCGCAGGTGCGTCCACAGCGGAGCCTCCCGTCCATGCTGTTAGTGCCACCGCCAATATTAACATATCATCTAGCTACCACTGATTTACTATTTCTGATACCATCGCGGCAATTGAGCTTTGAAGAACAGACACGGGAAAACCATTTGTAGATAAAGTATTTAAATTCAGGGCTAAGACTATAATGGCGTTGATTCGACTAAACACAACGAAAACTAAACTTTCATTAACTTTAACTGCCTCCGTGGCCAAACGGTTACCATGCCGGATTGCCACGCAGAGGTCCCAGGTTAGATTCCCGGGCCGGGAGAAATAGTAGTATGGCCTACAATTATTTCTCTCGTGAGTTTGGGTGTAATTTGTGGTTGTCTATGTGTGTGTCCATGGCACCCGCGACACAGGGTTTCCCTAGTGCGGGGCTATGTTGAGAGTGTGCGTTATTATCAATAAGAAAAGGAAAGAAATGTTTTTTTTTTTTTACTTTAGAGCTGTCACTTAAGTTAACGTTCATTGACTACTCTATATTTTATACTGCATGGATTTGCATCACGAGTGACTTTATTATTATTTATTTGTTTATATATTCAGGTTACAAAGACCCATAAATACATACCTTATAAACTAACGTACATTACATACATAATACAATAAAACACTAATTACTAATTATTTATTGTCTGCGACGTGTGACGCAACGTGGGTGTCCGATAGACGACCTCGGAAACGTCGGTACATGACGCCTCTTGGCCAAAACTCCTCCTTCGTGAATGTCGACAGATGTTGAGTTGGTACTCTCACCACAAATGAATTAAAATTCACCTTGTGGCGGCACCACAACCGCTTAACCCTCAGGGAAGCATTGGATTGCACCCGTATTAATTACTCCACAATATCAGCAGAATATAACCCGTGACACGTGTAACATTGTTGGTGTCGCTGGATGAAGTAAATGATTAGGGCCATAATGGGGCCATATTTACATTTATAACAACAACCTGTCAATATTATTGACAAATTTAGATCTGTCTAAAATTAAAATTTCTGTCGTTTTCTGAACTAAAATCAAATTAGTATTTGCCCGAACCAACGCCATTATCACAGTAGCGACAATTATGGATTTTATTAAAACTAAATTGGTATCATGAAAAAGTTTCTAAGCTATCGTCAGCTCAATAATCGCGATCTAAAGAATGAAACGGACAGATAACAATTACAAATCAAGTATTCCACAAATTACGTTGTATTTACAAAGGGTGCTACGAAATGTGTAACCAAAACAAAAGTGATTTGTGACTATGCAAAAAAGTTTGGGAAATCTAAAAAACTATAACTCTACTAAAATAATACGATTGCTTGGTGATGAGTGTTATTGTGACGTTATGCGCATGATTACATGCAAGCGTGATGCGCCTACGCAAAATAATGATTTTCTAAGCGCTATCAAGCATTGGCTGTACAAGCGTGTACCGTGATCTTTTGTGTTTTAAACAGTTAGTAGTTTGAATTTGGAACATACCGGCGCAGTCTCTTCGATGAGTTGGGAGAGAGATGACGCTTCAGAGTTCTTCATTTCATTCGCCTCTGACATTATGTGTGCTCGCAATTGTTTATTCCTGTAAAATTGTTAAAAATATTTTAGAAGAAAGCAGTTTTGTGATGGATTTTTCCAATTGTTCTAGAATTGTATAACTTTTGATTTTTGTTTTAAATAAAAATTTAAGGTAAATAAAACTCCATATATTTGCAAAGAATTTTGATTGTTCTAGCTCGAAGGAATTTTTCTTAGTGTTCGACCTTTGTATTAATAATTAATGGAGTAATTTTACAAAAAATAATTCAATATCATGGAAATAAAACATCGTGACATTTAAATAAACTTAAAAATTAAAATTTTGATTGTGTTGAATAATACCTGGCATCCAGCTGCATGATATGGTTATGCGCTTGTGCAAGCTGTGCGGTCGCGGTAGCAAGGCGTTCTTCCAACGCAGCGGACTCCACGCATTTGATGGAATACTTTTCGGAGAGGGAGAGGATCTCTCGCCTAATCTCTTCCATTTCTTGTCTGAAACATTAGAATATAGATTTTGATGATCCGAGAAAAGCCTTTGACTTTGTATTGTACAGGAAGAGACGGTGTATCGAAAACTGCAATTTCCTTGTCACTATGGTTGTTAGTCAAACGTTGTAAACGGGACAGTATACCAAATTTACAAGTGTTTGCAAAATTTCATACAGTAATATTGAATATTAAAGATTAACTTTGAAGGGGTCATACAGGGTACTATTTTATGACCAACTCTATATTGTATATTTTATATTATAAACTTATATTTAATATTATTGATATAGGTAATACTCACTGGTGCCTAGAGCTTAGCTGCGACAGGTCAGGATTATGTGTACCGCGGCTGAGAAACTCTGCTTTAAATTTGTCCACCTCACGTCGCACCTCGCTCTCGTGGGCTTTGCGCATCGCATCTAACGCTGCTAATGTGGCGCGCGTTTCTTCAGCAAGTGCTTGTTCTTTGTCTAACCTGTGGCGATTCGGTTAATTTAATTTTGAGGTCGAGGGAACTACCAATTTTTTGTTAAGAATAATTTTAGTTAATTCATAAATTCATTGTCCGAAGGGTGTTTTCCTAATTTATGGAAACAAGCCTTGGTTACCCCAATTTATAAGTCTGGCTCGAAACATGATGTTAGGAATTACAGACCTATATCAAAGCTTTGTGTATTCGGTAAGATTTTAGAAAAAATTGTAACTCTTTATTTAGCCACTGTTTTTTCGTGTCATATCTCCCCACAGCAACATGGCTTTTTTCGTGGCCGTAGTGTTGAGACAAATTTACTATTTCTTACGGACTTTATTCTTATGCCATGGATTCCGGTTATCAAGTCGATACCGTGTATACCGACTTCTCTAAGGCCTTTGATAAGATAAATCACAATATACTCCTACATAAACTCTTGAAGCTTGGTATACACGGAGATCTTCTACGATGGCTAAAATCCTACATAGAAAAACGTATTCAGGCGGTATCGCTTAAAGGTTGCATTTCTGATTTTCATGATATTCCATTTGGCGTCCCGCAAGGTTCCCATCTTGGTCCGTTGCTAATTCTCATCACTTAGTTTATGCCGACGATACCAAAATCTTTAAAATTATTACTGGAAACATTGATTCTCTTGATTTGCAAAGAGATCTTGATGATTTTCGACATACTGTGCTAACAACGAACTACAACTCAACCATTCCAAATGTCATATTTACATTACCTTTACAAGAAAAAAGCAACCTTTCTATTTAATTATAGTTTTAATGGCGCCATAATCAAACGCGTTAATCAGGTTAGAGATCTTGGTATAATCCTTGACACTAAATTAAATTTTAATTCTCATATCGAAAAAGTTATCTCAAAATCCTTTAAACTGTTGGGTTTTATTTTACGTGTCTCTCAGCATTTCCGTAACGCTCTTACTTTTAAAACATTGTATTCATCGTTTGTATCTTAGAATTTGGAAGTGTAGTTTGGAACCCTCGTTATAAAGTACATGTAGATGCTTTAGAAATAGTGCAGAAAAAGTTTATCAAGAGTCTTTGTTATCGGACTGGTGCAGAGTACGTTAATTATGACACTTCATGCAAGGAATTTAAGGTTCCTTTCTTACACAACAGGAGAAACTTTATTGATTCGTTTTTCTTATACAAATTAGTAAATAATTACATCGATTCACCGGATCTTTTATAAAAAAATTGGCCTTAAAGTTCCCTCTTGCATGACCTTGCGCTCTAAAGCTACTTTCTGTTGTAAACTCAGTAGGACAAACTCCCAATGAAATGGTTTTTTTAGGCGCTATTTGGATTTTTATAATGAAAATTTAAGTCGTATAGACATATTTGGCATTTCTTCATAAGGTTATAGAGTAAGGGTAAGAGAAGCTTTATTTTAACAACAAAAATTTAGTGATATAATTATTTAGTGTACTTGTACACGTAATTAAGTAGCATTAATTATTTACGTTTCTAATTTTTCTTATTTTTTATAATATTATTCTCCTTTTCTTTTTTTTTGCTTGTGATGTTGTTTCGCTCATTATCTTATTAGTTTTTGTTAACGGAGCTCTAGGTCGGTACGTATATCAATTTTGATTTGTTACCCGTCCGTCGACGACTGCCCGTTTCCTCGAATAAAATAAATAAAAGGCGATGGCGGGCGAGGGGTTACCTGAGCTGGTCCCTCTCGGCGCGGTGCTTCTCCTCCATCTCGCGCACGATGCGGCGGTGCGAGCTCTCCATGGCCAGCAGCCCCTTCTCGCAGAGCGCGCGCAGCTGCTCGATCTCCTGCTGGTAGCGCGCGCGCAGCCCGTCGCCGTGCGTGTCGGCCGCCACGGCGCTCTGGTAGGCGGCGCGCAGGCTGTCCAGCTGCGCCGAGTACTCGGAGTCCAGCGCGGCCAGGCGCCGCTGCAGCGTGCGCGCGCGCTCCCGCAGCGCCGTGCGCTCGCGCTCGTGCTGCGCCTGCAGCTGCGCGCGCGCCCGACGCGCCGCGGCCAGCGCGCCCGCCTGCTGCGCCAGCGCGCACTCGCCGCGCGCGCGCTCCGCCTGCAGCCTGCGGAGTAGATTAGATTGGATTAGACTAATGGTTATTTGCCTAATACAGCAAATATACAGGTCTTCAATTAAATTGGTACAATGTATTCCACCTGCAAGCAGGTGTGCGAATATATTGGAATTTATTGGTACAGGTAATTGAAGTTAATTAAAATGTCAAATATTTCTAAATTCAAAGTATTCCTTATTACTATAGAAGCAATGTGTCATAAGCCATCTTGTCAATTGTAGTTTAAAATTATGTCCGTGCAGTAATTTAATGTCACTTGGTAAATTATTAATGCACATGTTGTAGCAAATATTTGTATAAATTATTTTATGGCAACGAGGTTGACATAATTGATTCATAATTTTAGGCCGTGTTTGTCTTTGAAATATTTCGCCACGTATTTTAAAATGTTTAGGATTAGTCTTAAAAAACACACAGATGTCTCTGATATACATACAGGTGAGAGGTAAGATGTTTAGTTTTTTAAATAGGGGCTTGCATGTGTCATCTGCTTTAGCGCCACAAATTGCGCGAATGCATTTTTTTTGTATTATAAAAACCCTACCTACATCTACGGACGGTCGCCCTTTGCCCGCGCCCCCGCCGCCCCGCCGGCGGCCGGCCCACCCACCTGTCCAGCGCGTCCTGCAGCTGCTTGCAGTGCTGGCACGGCGCCAGCGCTTGCAGAGCTTCGACGCGGCGCCGCAGCGCCTCGACGCGGTCCAGCGCCGAGCCGCCGGCGCCGGGCGCGTCCTCGCCGGCCGCGTCGTCGCCGGCCAGCCGCCGCGCCACGGCCGCCACCGCCGCCTCCGCCCGCGCGAGGCTCTCGCCGATCTTCATCGAGTCTTCACTGTTGCCCGAACAGTCACTGGAGAAGAGCGCGCGGCACTCGTTCGAGAAGTGCTGGAACAGGTACACGAACTCCGCCTCCTGCGACGGGTCGCTGTCCAGCGAGGAGACGGCGTCGGATCGCCGCGCGCCGTCCTGCGGTGCGGACGCGCAGTACGTGCCCTCCACCACCGCGACGCGCGCGTCCACCAGCGCCTTTTGCGCCAGCACTTCGGCCAGTTGCTGCAGCAGCATGCGGCTGTCCAGTCCGGGGGAGCTCTCTTTGGTGCGGCGGTCGACGGACAGACATTCCCTGTAGCGCGAGGCGATGTTCCTGACGGCGACGTCCATCTCGCAGCGGAGGTGGTCGTGCGCGGCCTGCCACCACAGCTCCAGGTCGGCGCGGTCCTGGGCCGTCAGCGTCAAGCGGCACCGGCGAGCGTCGTCGAGTTGGTCCTCGCACAGCTGAGCGGCGCGGCCCAGGGCGCGAGCCACTTCGGCTTGAACCAGTTCGGCCCCGAGTGCGTCTCTGGCCGCCGCCCACGCCTCGCGTACCCTTGCCGCTTCGATGTTTGCCCGTTGTTGCTCAAAATCGGAGTCATTGGGCGTCACGTAGCTTAAAGTTTCGCACGCTAACGCTGAACACAGTTCGGCTAACTTTTCCGTTTTGTATCTATCGACTGCGTCTGCAACTTCTTTTTGTGATGCCTTCAAAGCTTCCAGGTCAGCGCTCTGTATTATAAGTTCCGATTTGCGAAGATCTCTCGTTTCCCGCGCGTTGTTCATGATATCGATCTTCCTGGAAAGTATCCTGGCGAGATAGTCGAGTGAACTTCTGGTGTTGTTGATGCTTTTGCAACTGTCACCGTTTATTTTACATTTAAGATTATCGATTAATTGACTAGTTTCGATTATTTCAGACTTTATTAACCTAGCGAAGAATCGGCTGCCGTTAGACGATTCTAAAGCCTCTTGAATTCTACTGATGAGGACCGCCTCATATGCCAACTTCTCTGCCAGAATTTCTAGGCTCTTCCTCTGTGTTAGTTCGCCAGCTTCATATAAAGCAGCCTTCCTTCTGGAAATTTCCAGTAGTTTTGTTCTGAGCTGTTCCTCCAATTGTACGACGACTTCTGCCACGCTGTCATTGACTTCGTTCTCGTGCGCTTCACAATCGACCACGCATTTGTCAAAGCAATCTTGAAGTCTTTTGCTAACTTCAGTGAGACACTTCTCCATTGATTTGATGCTATACTTCTTTTCGAGACTAGGCGACGGTGATCTCCTCGTTTTAGCTGCTCTCATAGCGCTCATTTGACTCAGGCACTCATTCACCTTGTTTCTTGAATGTATCACCACGCTTTCTAAGCTTTGGAGTCTGTCAAGAAGATGTCGTTGTGATTGTGTACCAACACTAGAATTCTCTGGACTGTCATTGAATATGGGACTATCGGATGATCGCGTCGCTTGACTTAGGCTCTCACAGGAATTCGTAAAGTCTCGACGGGTTTCTAAGGCGGATGCTACTTTGGTTTCTAGCGAAGTCAGTCGAACTAACATTTTCATCGGTTCCGAGCTTGTGGCACTGTCTAGTGACTTCCTTCTGAGTCGAGCCGCTAATCTCTTCATTCGCTTTTCGTCTGTTAAGCTGTCGCTCTTGGTAGCTTTCTCTTTAGAAGGCGAGGCACTCTTAGAAGGAGAGTTGATTGTGGGAACTGTTTCTCCCGTCTCCAACATTGTAATTTTATTTTCCAGTTCCGTTAATTTATCCTCGACTTCTTTGCTCAACGTGAAAGACTCTCTCCCTTTCAATGACAAGCTGCGTCTCTTCTCCCTAGATTCTGTCTTTTGAATCTTATGCTTCAAGGTACGCACTTGCTTGTCTGACGCAGTAAGCTTCTGAGTCAAATCAAGAATCCGCGCTGCCATTAGGTCTATTTCTGACCTACTGCATTGTTCTCGTAACTTCATTTCATTGCGCAATTTCATATTAGTTACTTCTAGTTCGTCATACATATTGTGTGACTCTTTGAGTTCCTTCTTCATAGCCTTTATTTCCTGTATAGCTTTAAGGAATCTAGATCTTAAATCGATGTACTCTTCGATAAGTCTCGTTTTTTCTAGGGACTCGAGATTTAAGTCTTGATTTATGTTAGTGAGATCGCTAAGGGAACCAATGCTCTTTCTTTTTTCTCTAGTTGGTGGTTCCACGACCACGCGACCTTCCAGTTCCCTTATTCTGGTGTAAAGATTATCATTATCTTTGACACTCTTAAGTAGTTTTTCGTTAAGTTCGTTTAGTTCTCGTTGTAGTTGCTTGATCACATCTTGAGCAGATGCAAGCTGCTTTGTTAAAAGTTCACAGTGCTCCGTAGACTCCTTTAGGAAATTTTGAGTTTCTGTTAATTTAGTCTCCCACATGTTCTTATCCTGGCTATAAAGTTGTTTTATGGCGTCTATGTTTTCTGCTTCCTTTGTTCTAACAGCAAGCTCTTCTTCTTTTTTCTGCAGAGTCGTGACTAATTCCTCCATTTTCTTTTCTCGGAGAGCTGATTCCGATTTCAGCTTTCGCAGTCTCCCTAATTCAGATTCGGCAGCGTTGACATCGCCCAGAGCGAGTTTAAGTTGCTTCCGAAGATCGTCGATCTCGATGGATTGTTTATCGATGGTCGACATGTAGCTGCGCTTGCGCGGTTCGTTGGGTTTTTCGTTTTCGTCTATTTCGTCAGTCGGGCGTTTTTCTTTGGTGGCGTCAATTTCGTCCTTGTCGCTTTTCAGTGAGTTAGATCTGGGCAGAGTTTGGTGACATGCTCTTGCTCGCACTTTATCTTTCACTTTAGATATCGGAGTGCGACTGAGGATTGGTGAAGGAGGCGGTTGTGGAGCTACGTCTCCCCAATCAGCACTATCTCGGCGGCCACCTTCGGATGCTGTTCGGTACTCTTCATCTGATGAAAATGGTGCTGATCTTGGTGTTGCTGGAGTCACTGGTGTGACAGGAGATGATGATGATTCTGAAGTTTGATCGACGCTGTCCTCTCGAAGTATGAGTGATAATGGGCCAGAGTCGGGCAGTCCGGCAGTCCTTCGGATCGCTGATACCCAATCGGCTCTGATTCCCGCTGTAACAGCTGAAAGGACTATGTGTTTGCCATCCCAAGTCTGAAAAAAAAATGGAAAAATAAAGTTAACTCTGTTGTTTATTTTAAGATTATATTATATTTTACAAAATCCTAATCGATTTTTTTATAAATAATATTTCAATAAATGATAACAATAATTATAACGTACAATATAAAATCATAATGCAAACAGCGTAACGATTTTAATTTTGGAGGCACTATCTAGAGAACTATATTAATTGTATAATATTATGAGCGTACCTCGGTTTCAAAAGCATATCCATTAGTCGACGCAGAAGTTGGTAATTCCACAACTCTCGCGACTCCACTCAAATCGATAACTCCGTCCATCAGGCCTCGCTGTTCCGCGTGAGGATCTCTGAAGTAGAGCAATGCAGCGCCTCGGAGTACGAACCAGTGTCTCGACCACCCTGCAGGTCCTCGTCGTTGCAGCCACCCGGCTCTTACGTGTAGAAGCCTCTCAGCTGGTAGTTCCACCCGACCAGTTTCATTTGTCTCCGTGGTTTCTACTGCATCAGCAGGTTCACTGCCTTCGCTTGATGAACTTGAATTTCCTTCTTCTGGTGGTACTGCACCGTCTGGGGAACCTCGTGGCTGAAAGACGACATATATTTTAGTACGTAGTTTCTTTAGCAGTGTCGCAGCAGCGTTTTAACTCACTTTGGTTAAGAAAATTAAAATTATGTTTAAAAAACTTAATATCGACATATATAGCGGATATTTATATTGTAGATAATTTTGTGTAGATCCACAGGACTTATACAACTTGAATTTGTATACGATACTTACCGGCAATCGTTCTGGAGCCAATCTGGTAGGTCGTTCAAGAGTGGGCGGCAGCGCACGCCTGGATCGCGGTCTGGTCAGCGAATCTGCGATATCCCGAAGCTCCTCACCGTATTGCTGGTGTTGCTGTTGGAGTAGTGGCGATCTCACACTTACGACTACTGGAGAACAAAAAAGTTCATAATTAGTTTCGAAGTAGGTGCGGGTCGGGCGCGTGTCGGGTCGGCAGCACGGCGGGTGTAATTCCGTATATTGTGACCGCTTAATTTTCAATATCTAGTTGACAATTTACAATCTGGGCCCCAGAATGTCTTTAACAGATAAGTTTAAAGACATTAATATTCTTACGCTAGCGCCACAGTACATTTATGAAAATATAATTTATGTTAAGAATTGTAATTTTTTATGAAAAACAGTGTCAGACAACATTAATACAAGGAATAAAATAAACTAGCTGTTCTCAATAACAAAATTCCGGTTGATGTTCTAAATTTGCCATTTACGAGGCTTAAAATTTTTTTTTTCACAATTTCAAAATATGTTTGAAATAAATAATAATAAATAAATAAAAAATAAAATAAATGATAAATGTATTTGAGTGTAAATTTACAAAGAACGACTCCTAGAGATTCCTGCTCATTCTTTACAGGGGAATCTGCGTTACGAATGACCGGTAGAGTTTAATTAATACGACGATTTCAAGTGTAATTTAATATGAAATAAAGATGATTTTGAATTTGAATCTAAATGTGGCGCTGCAGCTGGGTTTCTAAATATTATATGAAAATTACCAATGGTGCCATTGCACGCTTCTATAAGTATCTAGAAGGTGCCTTTAGTTAATGACATGACGACAACTACGACTTTTCACCAAGTCACTAGTGAAAGATATTTTTGTTTCAACTGCAACTTTAAACATTTTAACCATGTAAAAATTTACCGTCATCGGAAGTGGCAGTGGTGGTAGGTTCAGCCCAGGTGTCTCTGCGTCGTGAACGCGCCTTCTCCTCGCCGTTGATCTTGTCCCGGGTCGGCGGAGACGCTGACGATACTGGCTGGTCAGTGTATACTGGAACAAGATAATATAGAGCTTAATTTTAATTGTACGTTGCTTACATTCCAATTACTGCTTCTACTTCCAATAATTGCCTCCGTGGGCGAACGGTTACTATCCTGCCACGCAGAGGTCTCAGGTTGGATTTCCGGGTCGGGAGAAATATTTGTATGGCCTACATTTATTTCTCTCGTGAGAAATCCATGGCACCCGCGACACAGGGCTCCTCAGGGCAGGGCTATGTTGAGTGTGTTTTTTTTATAATATCAAGTAACTTGACGAACAAGTACACAAAATAGGGTGGTTTGCATCAATATTAGACATAACTGGTTGAAGACTGTACCACCTCAGTCAACCATGACCATGGGACCTGTAAAGGGCCCGAAACGTCGGTTTGTTTGAAAAAACAAATATACGCGATTTACATCCGGAAAAATAGTTTCATTTCCTATGTGTAACAATCTCGAAAACCTAAGAACTCGATATACTTCTTAATTTCATTAAAAAAAGCTCTCATTCACTATCAAGATGAAATCCACTGGACAAACAAATTGATGTCGATATTTTGCATTATCCTTTCAAATTTTGTATTTAACACAGCAAGCCACCCAAGCAAGAGGTATCCCTGGAATAATTAATCATTCCTTAACTCGAATATGAAAAAGGTGAAGCTGATAATTGGCGATCATAACGAGACGATCGCATGCGCCAAGGTCAGGGCGGTTTAAAAATATGCGCCCTTTTGTCGATTATTTACGATTTAACGTTCTTCGGGCTGACGCAGGGATGTACTAGAACGAAAACTGGAAAATAGGGCTTCCCACACATAAAACAGGGCTTCAATCATATTCACAATATATAATAGTTATTGCTTAGTGTAACATAGACCCGGTGGTAGCCTAGTGGAATAACTGTTGTTTTTAATTTGACATGCATTCATACATAAGCTCACGCCTAGTGTTGTTAAAAAACCGGTTTTTTTCCGAGGTGAAAAAAAACAATAAAAAGACACCGTTTTTTTGGAGTACGTTTTTTTTTCTAAAAGTATGAAAATAAAAATATGACAATCTTTATATCTCTATATCTTTTGTTGTTAATATTATTCTTCAGAGAAATTGCTCAAAACAAATTGGCAACACTCCCAGTGTTGTCAAATTGTGGCGAATTCCCCAAATTGCGGGGAATTTCAACTCGATTGGGCATTTTGTGGGATTGACGCTTTGTGGGGGAAATGCGGAGATTCTGACATTTTACCTTTTTTTTAAAATCTGTCGATTGCTGTTGCATCGCTACTTTGATGATTACTGATAAAAACACTACATATTTATTTATCTAAGAGCGATATCAATATTTTTTTTCCACATCGCACATATCTCCTATATAGCAACATTTACATAGAATTATTAGCAAGCCGCTTATATAAAATTATTATTACTACTATTACCAGCCGGTGCGTCTTGAGCCCACGACCCTTCTAGTAACACCACAAACGAAGATTAAATTTTGGTTATAATTATCATGGTAATTGATTTTAATAAACATGTTATATATATAAAATGTTTATTAAGGTACGAAAAGTCAATGTAAGGTTAAAGTAATATGTTTTAAAAGATTGTGGTATGCCTGTAATGGACAGGCGTGTTGCGTGGCCCACGATTTGGTCGTTCCGTCACTTGGTGTCATAATAAAAAAAAATACATATTTAGTTGTTTTGTAGCTCAAACTAACATGTAGTCTTTATTTCTTATCATCAATGCTTAAATTATGTTGGGGCCCTTCCTGAACCGCCACTTGCTGAATGTTTTCGCAATAGGGAGGCACCTTGCCTCTAGCTACGTCCCTGTTTATGCACACGGCGGCGGTCCAGAGATCAAATAATACAAATCGTCCTGTCATTATATGAATTGCACCGTTTCTGTAGAACCATTTAAGTGAGGCCACGCAAGGCGCTCCACTTAGTATAATTTTACTTATACTAAGTATAATTTAGAGTGAGCAGTTATTAAATAGGTATGTACGTACATATATGTGTGCGGATTTTAATGGTTTAGTTGCTAACTGGTTATGTATTATGTTCCGTTAAGTAGAGAAGTGTTACTGCATTATACTTCGGGGAAGAAAGGGCGTAAAAACCATATTAATGTTTGAGAGACGAGTGATAAACTAACAAGTTACTCGTATATACGTTTTGGCGCATATATTTAATAATTGAAAGCCTCCGCGGCCGAACGTTTACCATGCTGGTCCGCAACGCAGAGGTCACAGGTTCGATTCCCGGACCGGGAGTAAAATTTGTATGGCCTATATTTATTATCTCGTGAGCTTGGATGTAATTCTCGTAGGAGTTGAGATCCTTGTGAAAGAGTTCGTCCAGGGAAGTACTGCCACCTCACCAATTACTGCCGCCAAGAGGTAATGTGACCATTACAGCGCGTTCCGGTTTTTAAGTTTTTTTTGTCAACTTATCAGGTCTTTGTGATGTAAAGCTGTGAGTGGCACTGCAACTGTTATGGACAGGTGTGTATCTTACCATCAGGTGCACGACCTGTTCGTTCCGTCACTTGATATTATATATAAAAAACCCTTGCCCTTCGTTTGGCGGCAGAAATAGGTAAGGTGGTAGTACTAAGATAGTAAGTGTGTACTTAGTTGCAACTAAAAAGTCAGATATCGCAGTTAGTGGGGATAAGACTGGTTTCACAGCTGTGTGTACGGTTCATACGGACTGTCCGCCTGCCGGTCCTCAGCATGCGTAGAATCCGCAGTGCTCTGAGTCGAGTGTTTAACTTAGTGCGGACATTCACGTAAGACAGTCGTCTACAATGAACGCACGTTGGCGGAGTTCATGCGGAACGAGTTCCTTGTTAAGCAATCCGCGTCACTGTAAAACGATATTCTATCTCCATACGTGTTGCTCTGCTACGCGCGGACGGTCCGCAGATAAATCCGCACTGCCCTGAAACCAGTGTACCCATCTACCGACCCGAGAGATAGGGTTTTCTGGAGAGACTACGGGCTCCACGGCAAGACCAGGGTACAGCGGGCGTCCGGGTCAGGCCCTCCGCCAATGACACGCCTTCTCGGGCGTCTCTGCTGGACCCGAACTTGGGTATGGACTCGCTGGATTAGCTACAGAGACGGACATGTTTGTCTGCCCCGGTGGTGTGTGGCCAGGGCGTCTGACTTAGTAGCGGTCTAGTTGAGGGCATCTCCGGCACTAGCCCGGAGAACTAGCAGAGGATAAGCTAGATATCCTTCGATCCCTCCAACCGCTTAGGTTATTGGGAACTGGAGAGACGTTTTTCGGCGTCGGGAAGCGAGCGTGCCTTACAGCTCCGCCACCAATGAGGAGATTTGGTAGTGGACTCAGTGTCAACGGCTTAGCGGTGGCAACCGCTGGTTGTGTAATGCGCAACGGGGAGCGAGCGTGCCTACAGCTCCGGTACCTATCTGGAAAATAGGGAGGGTACTGTAAGTGCACCCGGGGCGGCTCACCCGAGGCACTAGCCTCGCGAAGAACTGGCTGAAGTCAAGTGACAGGTCTGTGACAACCATGTACACTGGCTGATCTGAGGTCACAACCTGAACTTATAAGGTAAGATCGGTAGGGAGGGTCACTATAATCTAAACTAACGTAGAAATATATGGGGGCTGCTCTGAAACCAGCCTTAGTGGGGTACCTTCGAACTATCTCAACCATCTATATCTGCTTTACAGCTTAATTAAACCGGTAATCAGAAAGTTACTTTAACATTGAATATAACTTAACAACCTAGCTCAATCCTCATTTATCCACGCGATCTAAGACCTTAATCAGCGTTAAAGATAAAGAGTTTTGCGCCGATATAAATTGACAAACAAAACAAAATGGCGTCAACGGCTTCGCGCGCTTTGTCGGCGCCTGCGCACCCCGTGTTTCAATTTATCCCCGTTTATAGAGATATATTATTATCTGTGGCGCTCACAAATCATTATTACAGGTTGCATTTAAATGTTTTAAATAGATGTGTGTAAAAAGAAATTGTTTAGTGGCGTTGAAGAAAACGCATACCGATACCTTATTTAGTTTAGATAAAATGCTTGTTATTTTAAAAACTATCATTTATGATAAAGAACGTTAGTAATGTTAATATCATAACGCTAGTATTTGGCTTCGCTGTAGTCTGGTAAAAAGTTAACTTAGTGAACATTATTTACTAAAAAGGGGAAAAAACAAATGACAAACATTTTACCTAAAAAAGAAACAGCAATATACCTTTAGTTTACTAATAAAAATTAATGTTAAGTAGTACCTACCTACACACATACATCTGGGTAATTTTCAGTTGAGTTTTCTTCAGTTTTTTTCGGTGGCAATTTTTATTTAACTGTTTTCAATTTTTATTTATAATCATATTATTCAATGTTCGATTGTAATTGACTTAAATATTATATAATATTTCAAGATAGTATAATTGAACACTGTAAATAAAAAGTGCCACCGAAATGGAAAAAAACTAACTTGAAAATTACCAATTTATTTAATTACATGTATCTCAATGGGGTGGGCAGATACAATGAACCCGCTACACTCAGACATAACTTTTTCGTTACTTAACTCTTAGGAGAATTGGTCTATCGAGACACAAGTGATATGATTTAAAATTAGCAGTTGTGGGATCCTGCTCTTCGTTCTTATTCCTGAAAAATTCAGTTACTTTCGTGCTTCGTTTGCAATAGGGTAAGTCAGCCGGTTAAAAATTCAAAGAATTATTAACGCCTGCTTTTAATTATTCCCACAATTACAATCTTAGACTTATTAAACAAAAAAAAAAAACAAAAATGTTATTTACATAAATCGTGATAGTAATAATTTGTATAATGCGCTTTTTAATGCAAAAACTTGTCTATGAATAGCAGCGGCGGGGTGTCGCGACGTCATATTGGCAGATTTAGTGTTTGCAGAGTTGCACGAAGCTTTTGCAGGCCGAAAACGAAGTTGGAATCCGGATTTTCTTAATCGAATTTTAATGAAG